TAACGTTTCATTTTATTTCATAATAATAATTAATATATTATATTTGAGATATTTTGATATTTGAATTGAAGATGACAAAAAAAAAATTTTGTAATATTTATTCAGCACGCAATGCCAGACAAATAAAATACAATTTACATATTATATTTGTGCGTAAGCATCGCAAACACACCATTAATCGAACTTCAACCGCAAGGATTTCTCTATCGAAAAAGGATAAAGAACATCCAGATAATTTTTTTCTAAGAATACTAATGCAAAAAATTGATTTTGTAATTTAATTTTTTTCCTTCCACTTTGTATATTCCCAGGTCAATGATCTTCTATTTCATTTTTTAAAGGTCATTTCTTTATATTTAGAGAATATTTAGAAAAAAAATATTTTTAAATTATGATTCTTAATTCAAAACAATTTTGTCCATAATTAATTTTAGTTCTTATTTAATCTTCAAAACATTAAAATTGAAATTTCACTAATTTAAAATTTTTTTTTATCAATTTTAAGATTCAAAAAAAATTTAACAGGAAATAACAAAAAAAAAAAAAAAAAATTAGTAAACAAAAAAGGAATCAAAAACAAAAAAAATATCAATCAAAACAAAAACAAATTTCGAACTCCAAACTGCGAACAGAACACAGGAATATAAACGATTATTCAAGGTAAATAAACATTTTAATTAATGAATGTAGGAAATTATAATTAATAATTAATTAATGTTATATTATAATTTAATAAATTAAAAGTAAAAAAAAAATTGACGAGTGAAAATAATTGAATAAAGAGAAGAGAGAATTGTAAACTACAGTTATAAATAAGCTTTATGTGTGTATATATAATAAATATAGAAAATATCATTAAAAAAAATAGTGAATTGAACTGGAAAAATATTTAGTGTCTAATAAACACACTTTACCATATATAGATCTCTTTACACGTGTGTGTATGCAATTATTATAATGTCGGTTATTACGGAATCCTTCTATTTACTGATATACCTTTCTCCGGTACCCCGTAAATTTCATTTGCCACAACCCAATTCTCCAATATTGAGATGATGTCGTAAATCAATGAAATTATTGCACATCAATGAAGAAAAAATTTTTTAATGTCCAAATCATTTTGATAATTACGCCAATTACTGTTTATAGAAAATATTTTTTGAATTTTCATTTTTTTTCCTATATATTAATTAGAACTTACAATTTAGTTAATTATTGATTTAATTACTTTAATAATTATTAAAACAATAAAATATTTTAATATTAGAGAATATAATATTTTTAATACTACTATTAATATTATTATTTATTATTATTATTATTATTATTATTATTATTAAATTTTTATTACTGTATTTTATTATTATTATTAATAATAAATTAATATTTATTTATTTTATTTATAAACGGGAAAAGCTCTTTCGTATTTTTATTATTACTAAAGAAATATTGTATAAATATTAATAAAAATTTATTAAATAATAAAAACCAATTTAAATAGTAAATAAAAATTGCTATTATCATTATTATTACTTCTATTATTATTATTATTATTATTATTATTTTTATTATTATTGATACTATTATTATTATAACTATACACTATTAAAAAATTTCCAAAAAATTGAAATTTGGTAAAATTTTTTTAGAAAAATAATTGAAATTTGGTAAAATCTTTGAAAATAATTGAAATTTGATAAAATATTTTTAAAATAATTGAGTTTTTAAAAAATATATAAAAAAAAAATAATCAAATTTTTAAAGACTTGTAATTATAAATGATTTCTCCGAAATTTTAATAAACCTAAAAAAGTAAATTTAAAAAAATTTTAATTTACTTTGTTCGAAGGTAAAATTGAATATTGAAAAATTATGATAAATCATTTCTAAGAATTAGTTGTTTATAAATATAGTAATGTTATTTTTCGAAAATAATTGAATTTATAAAAAGAAGTTTTGTATAATTTAAAAAAAAAACTAATTAATTTTTTGAAGAATTTTAATTAAAAATTTCTAATAAAATTTTCTTTAAAATCTTAAAAATAATTCTAAAAAATTGTAATGTTCTTATTTTTTATATGTATATTTGAATTTTTGGAAATATCTAATCGAAAATATTGAAAATAATTGAATTTTAAAAATTAGAATGAAAAAATTGTGAGAATTACTTTCTTCAAAAATATTTTAATACAATTCTTAAGAAACTAATTTCCATTAATTTTTATTTTTATTAAGTTTACATTTAAAGATTTTTCATTAAAATTGAGAATTAAATTATTTTCAAAATTTTGCAAATAGAAATTCTTTAAATGTTGATTTGCAAAATTTATAATAAAAAAATCAATTATTTTCAAAATTTTGCAAATTGAAATGCTTTAAAAGTTGATTTGCAAAATATATAATAAAATACTTGAAAAAAAATCAATTATTTTCAATTATATATTTACAAAATTTAAAATAATTCAAAAACTTTTTAATTGTATATTTCGAAAATGTAATTAGAAAAATTATTCAAAAATAACTTTTTAAAGATTTGTCTATTATACTTTTCACACTAATAAAAATCGAAATAAATTGCAATTTATTCTAAAAATGTGGTATTTTATCACAAAATTTGTGAAAAATAGTCAAAAAAAGTCGGAAAAGTCATAATATCCGAGGTCTGTAAAAATTATTACAATATTATCCACCAAATTTTGAACGTTCAACGAAACGAAATGTGTGACAACATTTTACATCGAGTTAAAAAAAATGAGTAAAAAAAATTAAAATTAATAAAAAAAGAATTAAGAAAATAAAAAGTAAAAAAATACACGAAAAAAATAATAAATAAATAAAAAAGGATTAGAAATAAACAATAAAGAAAAAATAATAAATAAATAAAAAAAGGAATAAAAAAATAAAAAAAAATGAATAAATAAAAAAAAGAATAATAAAAATAAAAAATACCAACTAATGAAAAAATCAAACTACGCATTTCATTTCGAAAAATTCCAAACGTGAATAACACTCAAAAATTCAATCCCAGAGTAAATAGAAGAAACAAGAAAACGAAAGTTGGAAAAAACCCATACGGTAAAATTAATGCATTCACCTTCTAAAAACATCATCAGAGAAAGTTATAGATATTTACTTTTCCTATTTTTTTTTTTTTTTTTTTTTTTTTTTGAAACATTTAATGAACATTGTTGTATGAGATGAAGACAATACCAACTGAAGACATATTAAATTACATCTGAAATTCAACACTCTGCGGATGAGCGGGATTTTCCTATTTTTTGTCAAAACTTGTCATTACAAGCTTAGATGACACGCGAAAGACACAATTTTTACAGTTAAACATCCATTCCGTCTTATTATAAATGCACACTCTATATGACACTAGTAATTTAAGATAAACGTCTACTTGGAAAATTATTCACACGTATTTAAAAAAAAATAATTTTTTTTTTCATATGCTTGTGTTTATGATGATGTGTCGTCAAGGAAGCGGAATACCCATAACGGAGGTCGTTTCGCTCGACGAAACCTCGTGTTAAAAACCACGTGGAATCGTTCAAACATGAAACTTTCTCAAAAAAAAAAAAAAAAAAAAAATTTTATTTTTTTTTATTTTTTTTTCTATTAATTTTAATTGAAAAGTGTTTAAATTCATGAAAATGATTCATTCAAATGAATCACCAATGAAGGAGATAATTAATGAGACGCAAGATGATTTACTAAGTACGAAAAAATTCTTAAGGTTCAAAAGAACGAAATATATTTCCATAAATATTAATATTTTTTCAAACATATTTTGTCTTCAATAAATATCAAAAATTAATTAAACATTTTGAAACCATAAATTATTTTTTACTTCCTTGTATTTTTAATTATTTATTAAAAATTAATAAAAAAAAAAAAAAAAAAATTTTTTTTGAAATAAAAAAATACGAAATAAGTTTTTCCTGACCTTTTATTTTTAAGTAAATAATTTCTTTAAACTAATTTCAAAAGAAAATTTCAAAAATTCTCTAGCTAATTGTAAAAAAAAAATTTACTCCAAAAAAAATTTCGTTTTTTCCCCAAAAAATCATTTTAAAACAATAAACTTTCTCAACACAGAAAATATTTGCGGTTTTATAAAATCGCACAAGCAATATAGTCGGGAACCGGAAAAAGAAAAAGAAAGAAAGAAAAAAAAATGTGGAAGAGAAATCGGATGACAATTATTGTGATTGAATATCCGTTTTCTTCAATTTGTAACGATTTTGAACATTTAATTTTAATGCAATGTTTATAGTATACGGTTATTGAAACTACGTGGTTCGTTGAACATAAACATGTATGAGAGATTATTTCCTATTATTAACGATTGTGAAACAAAATCGTATTTTGCCATTGAAACAGAATATATGTAACGATAGCAAAAAAAAAAAAAAAAAGTTCACTAAACCGTAATTTTCAGTTAGAAACTAATTGATTCCGATATTCATTAAAATTCTAATTCTTTTTCCTGGTTAATTCTAATTTAGCATTTGAATAAATAATTATAATAATATAGAGAGAAAAAAACACGATTTTTGTAAATTATACTACAAAGTCAAACGTGGCTTTGGGGAAAGTTCGTAGGCTCGGGGTTCCTAAGGTTCAGAGTTCGATTCCCACCTTTGGTCAAAAATTTTTATTCTTTAATTTTTCTTCAGAGTTCAATTCCACGAAAGAATTTAATTTAAATATAATTTTAAATCGCGAATTTAAAATCATCATTTTTGTTGCAATAGTAAAAAGTTCAACATTTAATGAAAAATTAAATATTTCACAAAACAAAAAAAAAAAAAGATTTCGCGTTTCAATAATAATTGTTTATGTGCCATAATTGTATGGCCATATATTCTATATAAAAAAATGTAATAAAAAAAAATTATTAAAAAATAACGCGAATACGAAATCGCATATATGGTTGAGAAATAGAAAAATTCTTTAATTAAACAATGAAAAAAAAAAGTTAAATTACTTACACCATCGTCTAAGAAATCCACTCTGTAGTTTAGCACAAATCCCACGATGTACCCTCATCTTGTTTTGTAATCTTTCTCACCGGTTCACTTCGAGGTGACCCTCTCTTCTTTTAATTTGCAACAAAAACTGCACACAACACTCGCAGCTTCTATCAATCACAATCGATTTTCCCCCAAAGATCGTTCTCTATGCATAATATATGTTTTACTATCAAAACAAATTTGAAAAATTATTTATTTATTAAAAAAAAAAAAAAAATGGATTTTATTTATCAACAAAAGAAATTTTATTTATTTTTTTTCTTTATTTATCAACAAAAGAAATTTTCTTATTTCTTCTTTTTTATTTATCCAAAAAAAGTAGGTATATTTTATTTATCAACAAAAGAAATTTTTTTATTTATCAAAAAAAAAAAAAATTTTGAGTTTTTCTATTTATCGAAAAAACGTATAATTTTTTTTATTTATCAAAAAAAAAAAAACATCAAATAATTTTATTTTTCAAAAAAAATATATTTTATTTATTTATTAACTCGAGTTTTTTTCTAAACTCATAGACGGGAAAGAATTTCTTTATTATTCTAGAGACAAATTGATCTAACTTTTAATTTGACAATTTGACAAAAAAATTCTCAAAAAAGTAGGAAAAAAATTTGTACAAAGTAAAGTAAATAAAAAATCTATTTTTGAAAAAAAGAATTAGAGAAATAATATAAATTACTAAATTAGTTATTTTATATTATTGTTACTAATTACTTTGAGTAATAATTCTTCATTTATTTTTTTTTTTTTGACGTGAAAAAAATTCTTGCTGAATTTATAATGAGATTTGAATTTCAAGGTGATCGACCGTTTTATTCAAGCTGCGAATTTTAAAGTATACATATTGAATTATAGATTCTTCTAATTTAAGTGTTCAGAGTTCAATGGCATTTATTGGCAAAAAAAAAAAAATTTGCAAAGTTAATTAAGCCACACAGCAAAGTTTATTAATTTTTAATAAGAAAATAGTTAATTTTTATTTAATATTATTTTTTCATTTCTTTTTTTTTTTTTTTTGTTAAAATAAATAAAAATTAGACTTTTTTCAAAGCGAAAAAAATTATTTACGAAAAAGTAACAGTTTTTTTTATGAATCCTTTATTGCGAAATACGATTTTTTTTTTGGTTTTCGAATAAAGGAGATATTTTAATTTTTACGGAAATCGTTTTACGAAGAAGTAAAATGTACCGCTAATATATTAATACGAATAAAAAACCTTCGAATTTTAAACACCAAAATTTACAAAAGTCGAGAAAAAAATTTATAAATATGAATTTTTTTCGTTTCTATTTTGTTTTTGTTTCCTTATTTTTCAAAAAGTTGAAAAAGTATTTTTTTATATTTTATAAAATATTTAATAATAAATTAAGTTAAATAAATTTTAAATAAATTATTAAGAATAAATAAAATTGTAAAATAAAATTTTTAGTGATAAATTCACTAAATTTTATTTTTAGTAATAAATTAAGTTACTAAATTAATCTTTAGTAATAAATTAAGTTACTAAATTAATTTTTAGCAACAAATTAAATTACTGAATTAACTTTTAGTAACAAATTAAGTTTCAAAACTAATTATTACTAATAAACTAAAATAAATTTGCAAATAGAAAATAATTTACATTAAGTACATAAATTTATAATTGAAAATTTACTTAAAAAATTTTGCAGTCTTTCTTTTAGTGAAGTCTTTTTTTTACTTTTTTAATTTATCTTTTGGATTTTTTACTCTCTACTTTTTGCTTGTTCTATACTTTATTCTTTGCTTTTTTTTGCTTCATTTTTTTTTTTGCCTTTGCTTTTTTATTAAAAAATAATATTCAAAAATAATAAAAATAAAAATTACGATTCGAACAACACAAGACTCGAAGAGATATAAATTCACTTTTACATCCAATTAGAAAATTTTTAACTGGGTCCCTTATGTAAAATATGACACAATAAACCGCGTGCGCTCCAAAAGAGAAACTGTTTAATGATAAGGATCAATGACCACCTTAAAATCTTATAAAAATTTATTCAAAACTTTTATACACGAAAATCACGTCAAAAAAAAAAAAATTTGTTTACAATTATAATAAAGAAATTCTCTCCCGTGAGTCATAAAATATTTTTGCCAATGACGAAACATTTTTCTTTTGTTCAATTTTCAATATTTGAAAATTATTTTCTCCATAGGAAAATTTTTGTAGAACTAAATATTTTTTTCAAAGTTAATAATTTTTTTTCTCTTAAACAATTAAATTTCATCTATACGAAAATATTTTTAAACAATAATTAATTTTATAATAACTAATATTTAATTTTAATTACGAGTAAAATTTACTAAATTAGCAATTTATTAATTTAAATAAACTAAATTAATAACAAATTAATAAATAAAATAATTTAATAAATAATTTAAAATAATAACTTTAAATTAAAGAAATGTACTAAATTTTCAGAATTAATTTATTTTGTTAAGGACAATAAATTTTTGTTCACATAACAAAATAATATTTTTAATCACACAACAAAAGCAACAATTGATTGAACAAAAGTTTATTCGAATAGCAAAATTTTTGTTTTTATTCAAATTAATTAAATAAATAAAATAAATTCTATTAATTAACACAAAAATTTTTATTCGAGCAAAAAATATTTAAATTTATTAAAAACTGAAAATAACTTTTTAATTAACAAACAATTTTGATAAAAAAACAAATTTTGTTTAAAAAAGATAATTTTTTTGCTAAATAATAACAATTTTCATCCATTAAAAATAAATTCAGAGAGCAACAAAAATTTATTTAAATTAATAATTGCATTCTCAGTTAAAAAAGAAAAAAGTTACCAAAGTTTTAACAAAACAATAAATTTTATTCCTTGAGTAAAATTATAATAAACAAATGATTTTGCTCAACCAAAAAGTATGTTCAACTTAAAAAAATTCATTTCAATTAAACAAATAAAATAAAATTTTCTGAATTAAATTGAGCAAAATTATTTATTACTATTTATTATTATTTATTATTATTATTATAATTTTACTCAAGAAAAAAATTTTCAACTAAAAATAATTCATTTTGATTAAACAAGAAACGAACCAAGTATTTTTCAGATAAAATTTAGAGCACAATTATTTATGATTATTATTATTTATTAATATATTATAATTTAAATCAAGCGAAAAATTGGTTCTGAAAAATTCATTTCTATTAAACAATATAAACGAAATAAATTTTTTAAATTCAAATATTTAGTTTGAACAAAATTATTTCTTATTATTATTATTATTATTATTATTATTATTATTATTACTATTATTTTTATAATTATAATTTTACTCAAGGAAAAAATTCGAAAAAATTTCAATGAGAAAATTCGTTTCGATTAAGTAACAAACGAATTAAATCTATTTTAGAGATAAAATTTGGAGCAAAATTATTTATTATTATTTATTATTGTTTATTATATTTATTATTAATTGTTATTATTTATTATTTTCTATTATTATAATTATTTTACTCAATAATTTTAGTCAAGCAAAAAATTGAATCTAAAAAATTTAAATTAAAAAAAAATTAATTAATTAACTAATTAATTAATTAATTAATTTAAATTTAAATTTATTTTTTTTTCGTTTGTTATTTAATAAAAACGAACTTTTCTCACTTCAAATTTATTTGAATTCCAAAAAATGATTTATTACTCGAAAAATGGGTAAAAATAAAAGAAAAACACTTGTGTCAAAGGCAAAAATATTCCCAATTTTCATTTCGGAATTAAAAAAAAAAAAGATTCCGAACACCTCCATGATACTCACATGCGAGCAAAAATTATAAGTCGTCAATTCCGCGAGTTGATCGGACTTGTGCGAGACGACGAGCGGCACAAGGAGAAAGTCTGTACCAAGTATGCCGTTGCTGATGACGAAGGAAATGCTTATTGGGAGCGAACTAACGTACTTTTAAATATTTTGACCACAACGAATAATAATTCTTTTTTTTTCAATTTTCTATTCTCTTCTCTTTTCTCGTCAATAATTCTCTAATTTCTCTATTGTGTCCTCGTTTCCTTTTTCCCCTCTATAATAATTTGTCCACTTTAAATCTCACTTAGAAAAAAAAAATTTTTTTTCTATTCAAAAAAAAAAAAAATTAATTAAATTATTTACTAAGAAAAATAAATAAATAAAAAAGATGTGTTTTGTTTAAAAATTAAAGTTCGCGCGAACTGATGAAGGTCCGGCGGGATGTTAAAAAAAAAAAAATAATAACGATCTCAGGAAGTATCACTACTGCCTGTAAGATCGGCTCTGAGTGTTGTAGTCGATCTGTCGAGGAGGTGCATAGGTACCGATTGATTTTACATGAAATCGGACAGAAAAAGCAAGACACGATCGGTTCACAGTCGGCCGAGAGACTACAAGACTTTTGCCTCTTGCGTGTGTGCCAGGTCTGCTCAGGTGAACGATTTATTATTGCCCCCACTTTTCCACGAGCCCATTGGCTTTTCAGCTTGAGTACTCAATATGTTTAGGTTTACAATTTATATTTTTTCTCTTCTCTTCTTCTTCTTCTTCTTCTTCTTCTTCTTCTATTTCTTCATCTTCGCTTCTTTTTCTTCTCTTTTTATTTCATTTCGAAAAATTCCCTACAATTGATTCTATTTTTTTCCTTCCTTTATATTCTCTTTTTCCCTTTGCTTCTTTTATTTCTTTCTTTTTTCCCTTTCTTCTTCTTCTTCATCTTCTTCTTCTTTTCATATTTATTTTCCTGAAATTTTTCATTTAATTTTAATTTTGTTTTCTTTTTTTATATTCTTTTCTTTCCTTATCTTTATTTCCTTGTTTCTTTCTCTATCTTCTCTTATTTTCTTTTATCTTTCTTTATCTTCTCTTATTTTCTTTTATCTTTCTTTATCATCCTTTCTTCATATTTTTTTCATTTATATTTTCTCTTCTTCTTTTACTTATTCTCTTTTTTCCCCTACTCTTCTTCTTCTTCTTCTTGACTTTTTCTTATCTTCATTTTTGTCTCTTTTCTTTATTTCCTTTTTCTATTCTTCCTTCATTTTTTTCTTCATCTTCGCACCTTTTCTCCTCCTTATATTTTATTTCGAAAATTTTTCTACATTTTGATTCTATTTTTTCATTCCTATTTCTTTTGTTTTTCCTTTATTTTCTGTTTTTTCCTTTTTTCTTTTGCTTCATTCATTTATTTTCTTTTTTTACTTTTTTCGTTTTCATCTTCTTTTGATATTCGATTTCTTGAATTTTTTCACCTCTTTTTAATTTTGTCTTCTTTTTTCTATCATTCTCTTCCCTTATTTTCTTTATTTTTATTTTCTTGTTTATTTCTTTATCTTCTCTTATTTTCTTTTATCTTCCTTTATCTTCTTTTCTTCATTTTTTCCTTTTATATTTTCTCTTCTTCTTTTACTTATTCTTTTTTTTTCTTATCTTTATTTTTTCCTTTTTCTTCCTTTTTTTATTTCCTTTTTCTATTCTTCCTTTATTTTCTTCTTCTTCATCTCTGCTCCTTTTCTTCTCTTTATATTTCATTTTGAAAACTTTTCTACATTTTGATTCTATTTTTTTCATTCCTAATTTTTTTCTTTTTCCTTTGCTTCATTCATTTATTTTCTTTTTTCCCTTTTTTCGTTTTCTTCTTATTTTGATATTCGATTTCTTATGAAAATTTTCATCTAATTTTTAATTTAGTTTTTCTATATTCTCTTCTTTCCTTATTTTCTTTATTTCTATTGCCTATTTTTTTCTTTATTTTCTTTCTTTCTTTATCTTGTTTTATTTTCTTTTTTCCTTCTATTCTTCATTATTCCTTTTCCTTCTCTAATTTTCTTTTTTCTTTCTTTGTCTTCTTTTCTTCATTTTTTCCATTTCTATTTCCTCTTCTTCTTTTATTTATTCTCTTTTTTCTTCTGGATATTCTTCTTATCATCATTTTCCCCGTTTCTTCTTTTATTTGTTTCCTTTTTTCTATTGTTCTTTTATTTTTTTTTCTTCATTTTTCTTCTCTTATTTTCTTTTATCTTTCTTTATATTCTTTTTTTTATTTCTTCCATTTATATTTTCTCTTCTTCTTTTACTTATTCTCTTTTTTCTTCCTACTCTTCTTCTTCTTATCTTCATTTTTTCTCCCTTTTCTTCTTCCTTTTATTTCTTTTTTTATTATTCCTTTATTGTCTTCTTCATCTTCGCACCTTTTCTCCTCTTTATATTTCATTTCGAAAATTTTTCTATATTTTGATTCTATTTTTTCATTCCTATTTTTTTCTTTTTCATTTAATTTCGGTTTTTTTCTTTTGCTTCATTCATTTATTTTCTTTTTTCCCTTTTTTCGTTTTCTTCTTATTTTGATATTCGATTTCTTGAAATTTTTCATCTAATTTTTAATTTTGTTTTTTTATATTCTTCTCTTTCCTTATTTTCAGTTCCTTTTTTCTTATTCTTTATTTTCTTTCTCTATCTTCTTTTATTTTCATTTTTCCTTCTATTCTTCATTTTTCCTTTTTTATTTCCTCTTCTTCTTTTATTTATTCTCTTTTTTCTTCTGGTTCTCCTTCTTATCATAGTTTTTTTTTACTTTTTTCCCCTTTTCTTCTTTTATTTATTTCCTTTTTTCTATTCTTCCTTTATTTTCTTCTTCTTCATCTTCGCTCCTTTAATTCTTTTCTTTCCTTATTTTCTTTATTTCTATTTTCTATTTTTATTTTCTTTTTTTTATTTTCTTTTATTTTCTTTTTTCCTTTTATTCTTCATTTTTCCTTTTTTATTTCCTCTTCTTCTCTTATATTCTTCATTTTTATTTCCCTTCTTTCTTTCTTTATCTTCTTTTATTTTCATTTTTCCTTCCTTCTTCTTCGACATATTTTTCTCTTTCCCTTTCTTTTCCTTTTATTATTTATTTATTTTATTCATTTGAAATCACAAAGTTTTTATGAAATTTCCCACTGTTTCTCAATTTTCTTCCCACTTTTTCCGTCTTCCGTTTTTTCTTTGTTTAAAATTGGAAAAAACCTATTTAACGTTTTTGCACTTCTTCGCATATTTTCTCCTTTTTTTCGACAAATTTCAATTATTTCTTCTCCTCTTGAATATTTTTTCAATTTTTGTCTCAAAGTAATTCTATTTTTTTTTTATAAAGAGTTCAAAGTTTAGAAATTATTCTGCGACATGTATGGCAAGTAAAATATTGAAGAAAATTTAAATAAATAATTTTATTTATTTAAAATAAATAATTCAAATGAAATTTGATATAAATAAATTATTTCAAAAAATGTACAAAGATCACTGTGAATCAAAGTACTAAAAAATCATTATTTTGGAGAAAAAGTCATTAAAAATTTATTTCTTTTAATTTTTAATATTTCTGTCGTCGGCAAATCACACATGATTTGTATAGTTAGAACTGAGTCTAATTTTACTAATAAATAAGTAGAAATTACTGATTTTTATTTTTCAGTAAAATTAGAAAATTTGCAAAAAAAGAATCGAATTCTATTGTCAATTGTAGATTATTATGGGCAATTACAGAGATTTTGGTGTGTGGCTAAATAAATTGTGTGTGGCATCGATAACTTTCGATCTCATGCGCTAATGCCTTGAATTCCGTGAATATATTCGTAGTGTACACTTACATGATTCCGGAGAAAGGAAGAGGAAAATAACACGTAACTTTTCATTGCTTTAAAAATTGCATTCAATGCACGCTCCTTTTTCTTCATATGTTTACTGGATATTCCCTTTACTTATTATTGGTTTCGTGCATTTAAGTAAACGACGATAGTGGTGAAAAGTTTTCTGATGAGTAAAATTCCGCGCACAAAAATATATTTTGTCTCAGTCTTTCAACACCCCCTAAAATAATTATACTTTATCGTATTAATTCGCCACTGTCTTTTTTTTGTTTTCTTTAAAAAAAAGTCAATATTGACAGGATTCTTCAATTTAAATCAATTTTTGTCCAAGAGTTTACTAATTTTAATCAGTAATTATTTACTAAATTTAACTAAAGTTGAAAATTCATTAGTTTACCAAAAAAAACGCTTTACCTGAAGCAACGATAAGTTTCTTTAAAATAGCGAAAGTATTAATTGAAAAAACTAAAAATTTCGCTAAAATAGTGAAATTCGTAGTTATATTTTTTTCCGTGTTAACTAAATTTTTTTTTATTTGCAGTTCGGAATAATTTGTTAGCGTTGGCTAACAAATTATTCCGAACTGCAAATAAAAAAAAATTTAGTATATAGTTAAAGTTATAAATTAATTAAATTTAAAAAAAATTAAAATTAATTAAAATTAAAAATTAAACTACTTTGAAAAAATCCCAAAAAATTGACAAGTTTCGATATATATATAATATGTATAATATTATAAATTTTTGTTATCATCATAATTACCGAGATTGATTATGTAAATGATTAAGTAGACGATAATGAAAATTAAATGTCGAGGAGAAACTCTTAAGTAATCAAAATGAGTTCATAGGATGTTTAAGATTAACCTGATATAAGAAACATGTTATAAAATAATTTAATTTTGCCAATTTTCATTTTTCCGTTTTCTTAATTAGATTATATAGATATATAGTTATGTGTTTATATATAGAGCATACAATAACCGTGACAAGTTTAATTAAAATAAATAACAAAAATTGTTCAGTACTAAATATAACGAGAACGATTCTCGTTTGTCGTTCATTATAAGATTATTATATTGTTTGCAATAATTACCATAATAGAAGAGAATTATATTCTTAATTTTCTTGCAATTTTTTTTTACTTTCTTTTTTGATTAATTTAAATTTAATTTATTTATATTTATTTAATTTATTTAAATAAAAATTTTTAAAAACTTCTTCAAAAATTATTTTCATCATTACGATTATTCATTTCTAGAATTTTCAACTAAAACTCTTCTTTAAGTCAATTTTTTAATAATTTTTGAAAAAGTCGTTCTTTGCGAATTTTCAAATTCTTTTGTTTACAATTTAATTTTACGAAATTTCAATTATTCTCTGACATTCTTCAATTAAATATTTCAGAAATTAAAAACTTCAAATAATTCAAAAAAAATTCCATTAAATTTATTAAGATACATTAATTTTATGGAATTCTTAATTAAAAGTATAAAAAGTTTAAATTTTCAAAGATTTTAATTTGAAATTAATTTTTAAATCAATATTTATTAGAAAATTCTACGAGACTTGAATTATTTAACTATAAAAATAAATATATTATTAAACAATTGAATGTTTCTTAAAATTGAATTTTTATAAAGAATTTTATTAACAAATTTTTAAACATAATTGGATTTTTGCGAAGAATTTTATTAAAATTATTTTTGATAAAAATTGAATTGTTACTCAAAGAATTGCATAAAAATTTTGGAAAATAATTTTATTCTTTAAAGAAATTTAATTAAAAATTTATTGAAAATAATAA